AAAAACATCAGATTTTAATGTTTTCAACAAATTGCTCTGCAGACTGGAAAATGGACGCCTGCTGTGTGGGAGAGTAAAACCATGTATTTTGTCAGTCACGCCTCTTTTGTATTTGTCATCTCTGTTGTTTTGTTTTGTTTTTGTATTCCATTTGTTACATTTTCACACCAGAGAAGTGAGAGGGAAAAAAATCTCATCTGGTAGCTTTTTTTAATCACATCTGTGAGACTGAGATGTGCCAGCCACTGACACTTTGTATTCATCTGTTTTGCAGGCTTCACAAGAAGTTTATTATATCTCTGCCTCTAAATACAGGTACCAACATTTCCTTATGTGTGTTTCCATGTGTGTGTTTTTTTCTTCCATTAGGTGAACTTGGCTATTATGCAAAAGCAGCTTTCAGAGATGGCCATCGGGCACCCGCGTCAGGCCAGCTCCTGCTCACATCAGAAYGGTTTCTCCGGCGGCGTGGGCGCCCTGGGCATCATGAATAACCGGCTGGCAGAGACCAGCGTGGACAGATAGAGCAAGTTGTGTGGAGATCTTTTTTTTTTTCTGAGATGTAGAAAGCAGACGAGAAGGAGGCAAGTGCGGGCAAAAGGCTGACCTCCCACAGGAGCTAGGAATCCATCTCAGCCCACTTCCCTTTCAGGAACGTGGCCCCGTGAGGGCCAGAGGCTCACATCTGGACCAGAGTGCAGGAATGTTCGCCAGTTTCCATGGTGATTACAATGAAGCCTGCCTGAAGCTTTGAATCTGAGTTTCTTCACTTCTAACGGCAACTTCCACTCATCTGCAGCTCTTAACAGTAACAGTCCTGTCAGTGACTCAGTTACATATTACATCTGACTGTACGCTGTAGTGATRAGAGAAGAATAGCTTCAATAAAGTGGTTGTTTCCTGACTTTGAGTTTTATAGTGGTCTCTAAATAAAAAATAGGATTTGGTTAGAAAATTTAATTTTTTCAAAGGGATCCCTGATTAGTTGTAACATTAGTCTTTATTTGATAAACATTTATTTTA